TATATATATGTATGTATATTTTTTTTAAAATTGTGTGTGTATGTAATTTAAACGGGATATTATTAAAATATATAACCATGATTTTGGCGAGCTATATAGATAAACTAATATTAGTTTCACAAAAATCAATTTGAGGTTTGTCAATTACCGTCGCGTCTTGTCGGTGACAGGTTGTGTCATCCTTCGATTTTACCGGCTCAGCCTAACTAATGAAAATCCTCGGAAAAATTGACTTTCACCCTAGATTTCTCCCGGTCGTAAAATCTCGGAGACGAAGAATCTTCTCGTAACCTCAGCTTGCTCCCATCCACGCCCGTTCTACAATCGTATCCATGGAAAAAAAACTCAAGAGGAATTCAATCTGGTCTATGTGACTAATGAACAAATAAAATTCTTCTGTCCGTCGCGTTTCATTCTCTCCTAACTACGTCTTCCCTCCGAGAAATATTCGCGAAAGAAAAGTTGATGAGCGCTTTGAGCGTCAGAAAGCTAATTCATTATCGCAGAGAAGCAGCATTATTATCCAAAACTTAGTCTCATGCGTATTATCATTAATTATCGCGATAGTGTCATCTTTGGGCGCACAATAGTACACAAAATAATTCCGATATATTCAGTTGATTTCGTTGTATTGTACGCGCTTCGCAATATCGCTTTGAAATACTGCGCTTAAACGTCCCATTACAATCGGTATAATGACAATGGTAATTGAAGTACTCTGTAAATTAGTACGTACTATATCACACAAAAGAACATTTTACAATTTGTGCTGCATTTAGTCCGATGTGACAATGTTATGCAAAAATCGCATGTAAACTATAATCTCTAATAATTTGGCATACAGAGCGCTTGAATGTATGTGACGAGCGATATATCTTGTTGGACAAAACGTCAAGCTAGTTTTGCTATGATATAGTGATACGCACAGTCTCTGTATATGAGGATAAAATATAACTTTTAATGAAACATCAATGTCAGGTAGATCGATTTATATTGCGTACGAGATATTCGTAATATCGTTACTATAAATCACTGTAAAAATGCAGTTACGATGGCAAAATCGACAATATTTATGATATTGACGAGTATGCTTTCAAATTACCTTGAACAAATTGCTTCTAAAAGGGAACGAAAAATAAATCAGAATACGAACGGTTTCGAGATAGTAGAATTTCTCGGTTAAAAGTGATAATATCCGAATTCTACGGATGTTCTTTCCATTTCTAACTGAAGCGCAGCCGTCGCAATTTTCTTCGAAAAAGATTGTATTTTTATCAGTTGAAGACATATCACAAGGATAGATATTCAACAATAAAGTTGCCTTTAAAAAATATCTGATATTTAAGGCATTATTGACTATTTCAAGATAACAGGTCTATCAGCATAAAAATTGAATGTTTTCAAAAATAATATTTTATTGAAGTATTAATGATATAAATAAATTAAGATTTCAAAAAACAATGCAATTATATTTATCTTTAAATATATATAGTGATAATATGGACTAGAATAAATATATTTCTCAGTTAACTTTTTTCTGAAACATTTTGCATTGTATATATTGCATAAATTAAAATATATCTTTTAAAAGTTAGAGTGAAGGCTTATTAGAAATAGAACGCGTGACATGAAATATTTATGCTTTGTGCGTCAATGATTAAAAGCATACAGTATAAAGGATGAATTGCTTGTCTTTCTAGCAATATGCACATAATGAAACAGCCGTCCATCTTGAAAGTGCCCCATGCATAGTTCAACTATGATGAAATCCGAGAAGAAGATTCTCGAGCGCATTATTATTTTCGTGAGTTCAACTCTTCCATCGTTTGAAAAGCCGCCGCGATACTTTGGAGATATCCGTTTTCAGAGAAAAATTTTATCGACTAATAGCCATCGTATTGCGCGCAACATGTCTAATTCGA